AATTTTTTGAATCTATTTTTGTAAGGCCACTTTACCATCCCTGTTTCTCTTCGAGTCATTAATGCAGTGTCGCTACATTTTTATAAATAATGTCTTATATAATAAATGTTTCATAACTTTGAATTTAGAATTAAACAATACTTTGACGAATGTAATTGTTAAGTTTTAAATTTAAATTTTGATTATTAACCAAGTATTATATAAAATGTAAATTGGGGGAGAAGGGGGGAGGACTGTAATATTATACCATCATTTCCTCTACTTGTATACGTAAGTGTTCGCATGATAATTAATTTGATCCATACTTTAATTTATTAAAAATTTAAATTTACACAAAATTTATTATTTTTATTTATAAGTAATTACATACATTGAGGAATATATTAAGCATAAAATAATAATTTTAAAATATTAGAAATTAAAAGAAAAATCTATATTTTTAAGATTATTTCTTTAGCAATATTTTCATTCGTTCATGTCTGAATCACTCTGACCCTTTCACAAAAGTCTAACTTACGGATTAAGTTACGTCTAAACGAATTTTATTCTTAGACATTTAAGTCAATTATTGCGAAAGGAATCATGTGGCGTTTCTCTTTGATTTTCATAATTCTTAAGTGTGATAAGAAAAAAGGTTTTTGAAATTTGTTAGCATAAAATTTTATATTTTCGATATCTTTAACAATTAAAATAACTCAGGTTAATTGTCACGTAAATGTATCACGATGATTCATGTGCAGATATGGCTTGTAGAGTTTTTTTTAACAAGCTAGCCTGCACACGCACGTTGAAACTGTTAATGGAAAGAGCGCAGCATCGTAAAATAGGACATTGATGTTTTCAGAACCTTTAAAGAGAAACATCACTATTTATATTTTAACACTAAAGATGCAAGGAAATTTGAGAAACTATCAAATAATAAAATTATATTTACCACGCCAAAACTTTCAATGGATAGAGTCGCCACTTTGCCAGCAGTTATTCTGCATGGTAATATAGTTCTACTCATGATTAGCAGTAAGAGTTTTTTGCATCTTTCCGAGGTGTAATACCAATTTGCTCTGCAACTATGATTCAAATCATGATTAATAAATAGCAGTAAAACTGAAAAGTTTATATTTGTAGTTCTTGGATCTTCTCAATTTTTGGTATGTTGATATTTCAAAAAGATAACGAGAGCTCTTAAATGTGCCCAAAAGGATTTGATTTCTTACATCGATTCGTATGGAACGACGCTGTAATCCAATAAAAATTGAGCCTGCCAAAATTGAAAGAAAAGATGGGTGAGTTGAGCAACGTAAATAGCGAGGGGTGCTACTATGTCTTTTGTGTCATTTAAATTCATCAGCACCTGAAACATACATTTCCTTTCGTACTATTTCCGTATTATTATATGAAGAGTTTTCAATGATACGAGAGAAAAAACATCCAATTTAGAAGACATAAATACTATTATTAATACTCATTAGATAAAAAAATTCTTTAAATTAAAATGTCAAGGCTTTTTTAAAAACGAGCAAATGTAATTAACGCTATAAATTTCAAATTTCATGAAAAAAAGCGTTTTTTAAAAAAATCTTGACATTTTAATTTATTGCGTTGCACTTACACGAGCTTACTTTTCTATATTAAAAAATTCTTTTTTTCTGCAATAACTTTTATTGTGAAATATAACATAAAGAAATCAGAATATACCTGAATACCGCATATACTGCCACCGATCATATTCAAACTAACGCTGACCAAGAATATATTGGCAAACGTGGAATCGATCAGTTCCGCGAATCTACAGCGAAATTTGAATGCAGTTACAAACAATAGTACATAAAGTACACATTATTAAAATTAATAAAAATAACACGTACTTTATTACATGCAGATGTTTGCGTAAGCAACTGAAAGCTTTGTTGTAATCATTGTCATTCATCTTGTGGGGTTTCAGATTAAAATTTTCATTAATATCCTCGCCAATATGTTCCAGCATGTGTCTGGAAGCCACTAAAATGATAATGTTCTTGGCAAATTATATTTTCAGATCATCATCATCGACTTTATTTAAATTGAAATTAAGAAGGACCGAAACAAGCAATATAGGAGAGACCGGTGCCGATTGTGTCATAAAGGTTGATTCTTAAAAGTTTAAACTCAATCAGTACATGACAAGACATTCTCTTATTTTTACTGTAGATTGCTATTGCGCTAAAAGCATCGTGTATATTGCAACGACTTTTAAGAAAATAAAGTTGGTGAGTAAATTTTTGTCCTTCCATGGCGGAGTTAAACAAGGTTGTATTCTCGAAGATGCGCAATAAAAATAACGTGCATGCATTTTGCAGCTAAATGCAGTTGACATGAATAAAAAAATTTTAGAAAAATGAAAGTCGCGCTAACATTTAGAGGCAATTTTTGATTGATCGTACCGCCATATTATGCAACACCTTGTCCGCCATGATCTCCTTTATTTTATCAGTTCTTAGCATTATCAATCGCAATTTCTTTGTAATCATAAAAATGACATGTCCTATATTTTTTTATGTTAATTAATCATTATTGTATAATAAAGAATTTTGAATATAATCTCTCTTAGAAAAATTGTGAATACAAACCGTCTTACTAAAAATGGTAAAAGAGCTGTTTTTCGCTTATATTACTCCATTTATTAAAAAAAATCTGACGTGATGGACATCTTTCGCTGGTGGATTTCAATTTAGTGATCTCGAATTTACTAACAAAATATTTGTCATGATCGCCACAGGAAAAAAAGATCAAATTTTGTCGGACAGTATTATTATCTTACTTACATTAATACTATTATATAATTACTGTTATTTTCACATATGAACTGATATTAAAATAAATCTGCGTTTTTCATATATTTTATCCATGTATATAAAATATGTCACTATCAACTCTATGTTGCTAACAACGTATGACAATTAACTCTAAATACGAGACTAATTGTCAAATTTTTGCAACTTTATTTAAAATTAAATAACTTATTTGATGATGTATTCAAAAGTAATCTTTTTTAAAAATACCCAAGAGATGTAAATATATAAGCATTATAACGTATGTAATGTTTAAAAATTTTACATCCATTTTTTTCTAAAAATAATTATTCAAAAATTGACAACCGGTGTTTTCTATATCAAAGTGTTTTTTTGTAAATGTCGGTCATGTGACGTTTGTTTTCTATTATCAATTTTTTAAATATTGTTCCTGATACTCTTACCCGACAACCGAGAACATCCCGCAGGCATGTTGAATCAAAGCGAAGTAGAAGGTATCAGCAGCAACCGTGGCGGTCACATGAGAGTATACGGTTAGATAACAATGAATCACTATCGGATAGAAGTACTGATCTATTCTGTAACCGTATTCCACGCGGAAAGGTAGTTTCGTTGCGGCCAATCTAGTCGAGTTTGATGTATCCTCTATCATTATTAACACAATTGACTTGAACATGTAGAGCAATCCCGTCGAAATCATAAAGACTGGAAACATGTGAGTAATACAAAGAGCGCTGGAAGATTTTATCAAGTTACTGAAAGAGAGTTTTCTAGCAAATTTTCAATTTTTCTATATACTCTTCTTCCCAGAGAATATTTTATCCAAACAAAACTTAGTCTATCTTTAAATATATAAAATGAGGCTCGAAAGAATCTATCAGTGAAAAATGTAAAAAAGTCTATCAGAGCCTACATCAACTATTCGGATGCACATAAAATTCTTTATTTTCGTGTGAATGTAACGAATAAAATATACGTTACAACCCTTTAATTCGGGTCTTTATCAATATAAAATATAAATTGAAATTACATAAATAACGCAAATTCCAAGTTGATGATTCCCGACAATTTAGTTTCTGTCACATCCGAACAGCTGATGTAGGCTCTGATGGGCTTTTTTACATTTTTCACTGTTAGTCTATCTTCTTTTTGACGCACCTGCATAAAATATCGTCAGATATTGACCATGTATAGCATGTCGTTGCAGAATAGCCTTTTCACTATCCGTTTTTAATGATAACCAATCGTCCTCTATTGTTTTAAGACAGGCCTCTATCTACAAACATACATCCTTTTTTACGATAACAATGATATTTGTTCTTGGCCAGAAAGAATTAGACTACGTGTCGTTAATCACATTAATAAAATTTGCATATATAATCACATTATTTACTTTCTTACTGTTTGCCATCAAGCTCGCTAATTTGAAGCTGAATATTATTGTGATTAATATCGTTGGCATACATTCGAATAGATCATCGAGATCCGTTAAGGCGATGTGGACATACAATAGCTATATTATAAAATGTTGATATAGATGTGTGTATTGTAAAACATTGATGAGATAATGATTAATGCATTTTTTTCTAAAAGATAGAAAATCTGAGCCTCAAGATATTTTGTTTAGCAAGAAAGACAATATATTTTTGTGTGAAACAAGCTGGTTAATAATTGAGTACTATCGAACGCTATAAAGAGCGTTGCAAATTTTATATAAAAAAACATATATCGATAGATTTTATATAAAAAATTTGATACAAAGAAAATAAAAAGTTTCTTGAAATTCATTATTTTTTTCTTAAGTAAAGTAAATTATGTACCATGGGTATAAGAATGATCGAACAGATCGTAAACGTTGGTACAAAATGCAGATATCTATTGCGAATTGGATGATACGGCCATAATCCTGCTAATGTCATGTATAATCTAGGAATTGCATAATACCGACTTTGCAAAATGTCCTTTCGCTCGGTCATTCTTAAGAAATACTAGGAATACGAACTACATCAACGATACTTGCTTTACTTTGCGTACGGTTGCCACCAAGCGAAGCGTTGGGACATTAACAATTCCTTGTGTTGCAGAATAAACGTCCGTCATTATGCCATCAATTATTTGCACGCACTGAAACCCTTTTCATCGTAGCTTTTCGTTACAATTGTCGATCGACTCATTTACGCGGGAATGACGTAAATGAGTCGTAATTTTGTCGCCTGAGCAATTTGCGAGTTCAATGTGTTCCATGTAAGTATACGTCAGTGTTAGCTACGTGTTCACGAAATGAAGCTATTATCCTAAACAATAAATGAATGCTAAATAAAAAATAGCAAATATGTGCGAAAATGTAAAGTGTTATTAACCCTCCGCGAATCAGGTGGAAAATCAATATGGATCATATGTGGGTATAACTCACACCCCATGCCATACTTCATCATAAATATACTATAATTTAGTATGATTGGTAACAATATACTTTCCAGTTGCACGAAATGGGCAATATGTGCGCGGTACTTTTTAAGAAGTTATAGAAATTCATTTTGCTGGGGTACGTCACATCGTAACCCCTATCTAGTTCACGAAGGGTTATTAATATGGAAAACTGAGACGTAATTCAATTGGATTAAAAAATATTTTTTTTTTCAGTAAAATTATAATGCTCAAAAGTGTAGTTTACTCGAAGATAGAAAAACTTACTTACATTTTTTCCTGTACAGTCCAAAATTCTTACTTATATTTATATATAATTTATTTTACAATAAAAAAGGTTTATAATAAAACTTGAAGGTACGAATTGACGTGTCGACAAATTTGGTCGACAGAATGCCAGTGGAAATAGAACAGAATCTGCTAACAAAATATGATGACAAAGGGACTGTAGAAGTTGCAGCAAAATTTGTCATTTCATAACCAGTTAAATATGTTCCATTTCAATGATTATGAAATTTAATTATGAAACAATTTAAATTTGGTTTCTGCTGCAATCTGTTATATCAACAGGATTTACTGGCAGATTACGAACTTAATGGAAATATAATTTCAATCTGCTACAATATTATGCTCTAACTTGCTGGTAAATGTTAATACATTTCTAAGATATTATTTATATGAATGCAACATTTAGAATCAAGATTCAAAAGGATACATTATACTTATCTTAATAAGAAGTCATATATTGAACAAGATGATGACACGATGATGAAAACTTATAGTGTCACTAAAGAGTTCTTGTCTAATACCAATATTTACGACTATAAATTTGTAGTTTAATATTACATTTAAATATTATATTTTAACTTCAATAGTGTCTCTTTTTTTCAGATTGTGCAGATGGGATTTCCAATGGAAATGAATTTTATGGCTTTGACGTCTTTCCGATAAGTATTCCTTTGCATTTAAAATAATGTTCTCATGCATCTTTATAGTACAAATAAAAATATTAATTAATTAAATAAATTTCATTATTTAATGCTAGTGTATTTATACAAATGTATTGATATGTGATACATTTGTCGAATATATTTATTATCACAATTTCCTGTATAATTCTTATGTAAATGTTAATGAAAAAAAGAATAATTAAGACACTTAAGATTAAAAAAATAAATTAAATAATGGACAAGAGAAGATAATTAAAAATTCCAACCAATTAATATAAACATATAAATACGAAGTAATTGAATTATCGCAATTGTCACAAATTATTTCACAAATAAATTATATAAGCAGTCCATTTTTTAAATTCTCGTAATTCTTTAAATCTCGTTAAAAAAAAGATACAATAAGAGGCATAGCCTGATTAGGTAAGACACAATTAATCGTATAATTTGAGAATAACTTGGTTTTCTTGTCAAAGTCTTGAATTGAACTATCGCAAAGAAAAGCACTAATCGTTCGTTCGCTCAAATCGATACCGCCTCGAGCTCCCGCTGCTCGAACGACAATTCTAAATGAACGACTACTTGAACGAATAGCTGACAATGTATCATTACGAACATTGAACGTGTCAAACTTGATTACATCCTGTATGCGTCCCGTATATGTGTACGTTTTCTTCAGTTTATTTACCGATCTCTTACTACGGTAGCAAGTTTACCATGCAGTCGGTCGTATTGCGCTACTACCGCATTAACAAAATCTTCATGTCGCAGATCGGTATCTGGCCTTATCAGAGCAGGACAAAGAGGATATTAATACCTAGCACAATAGTGTTAATCTCTGTCAGCATTTTTATAGCAGAGGTAACTATGTAATTATTCGATCTCGCAACTATTTACGAAGCTAGAGCACGTACATTTTCGGATTCGATCCGCATTTATTTTTGAAAAATATATAGAGCGCTTCAGAATTAATTGCGTCAATCTGGATCTCCGATTTGCCGATTTCTTGGCTAATATCTGATTTTTAAATAG